GGGGGGGGGTTGGCGGCCGGCGCGGGGGAGGGGAGGCGAGGCTGCGTGGCTCCGGCCTGGCGCGGCCTTTGAGGAGGGGGTGGCCGCAGTACCGGAAGTGCCCCCTATGAGAGGCTGCCCTTGGGGTCGGAGGCCGCATGGCCGAACGTGGACGGGGGCCGCATGGCAGCGCGGGGACCCCTCCCCCCAGGTCCCGGCCACCGGAAGCCCCGGGCGGCCACATGGTGGGCGGGAGCCGGCAACCCCCAGCGCGGAGAGAGGTGGTCCTCGCGGGCGCCTAAGGGAGTTCGGAATTTTGAGGAGTGGGACAAGCCCGACGCCTTGATCTTGATCACCTCCGTGAGCCCGCTGTGGGCATATGTTAGCGCTCCCCCACCTCATGGGCCCCTGTAGCTTTCCCCCCAATCCTGTGAAGTGAGGCGGCCAGCCAGGTGTAAGTGGCATTTGTCCGTGCTGGGACGCCAGAGAAAGTGGGAAACCGAGGGCGATTGGACGGGAGCCCAAGTCTTATCGGTCGTCCCGACAGCGCTTTAAAGTCCCGGGCAGATGAGTTACCCATTTTGATAGGTGCTCTTCACCCTGTCACTGTCTTTCTCGTTGTGTCTCATTTGGGAGTTCCTGGTTTTAGGGTCCTTAACTCTGCTAGCCTAGTATAATTTACACTATTCACTAACTACTACCAGCCTTTTGCTTTTATTTTATCGTCATTCACCACTCCCCACTCCCACTTTCTACTGACTGTACAGGCCCGGCCTGAAAAGCCGACAGGACCGGTGCATCCTGGGAAAAGTGGGAGGGCCCTTGAGGAGAGTCTGGGTTCCTGGGTTCCCTTTGGGAAAGCAGAGGTGTTTGGCAGGGAGATCAGTTAGAAAACAACTTTACTTTCTCCCCCTCGGCTGCGTCTGCAAATGCATGTTGGAGAGGCGGGAATCCCCCAAAGAGGCCTTGTGGTTTCCTGTACCAGTGACTGGCTCGTGTGTGGATAGGGTGGTGGGGGGGTAACAGACGGGTGGGGCTCCCTGTCCTCCGGTTTCCACCCCTCCCCCCACACACATTAGCCCCGCCCTTTTGCTGGCTCATAGCTGCTCACCTAATTATAGCCCTGGTTATGTGTGGGGAAGAGGGGTGGTTGGTTTTCAGTGGAAAGCAACACCTGAGTCCTCCCCCTACCAGGAATTAGGCCTTTGCCCATCTCAGAGATTTGACATCCTGACTTCCTGGAGCTTTTTCTATCCCGGGCCACCCCTTTAGGTTTCATTTGGGGTGGGAAATCCTGCTTATCTCCCACCGCCACACACACACAGTATTTTTGATTCCAATCAGTATTTAATCTAGGAACTTTATTTTACGTGGGTAATGGGATAAAGTGCTGGGGAAAAAATGAAGCAGTGTTTCTAGAGTAGAGTGGGATAAATTGGAGACCCTATTAATTCTGTCCTTACTGACCCTAGTTCTCTTGATTCTAGTTGGAATCGAAGCCTCTTAAAATGGCAGATGATTTGGACTTCGAGACAGGAGATGCAGGGGCCTCAGCCACCTTCCCGATGCAGTGCTCAGCATTACGTAAGAATGGCTTTGTGGTGCTCAAAGGCCGGCCATGTAAGATTGTGGAGATGTCAACCTCCAAGACTGGCAAGCACGGCCATGCCAAGGTTAGAATTTCATTTCCATATCTTGTCTTCCCCACCAGCTGTCATCAATGCTAGCCCCCTATCTTCTTTAGCTCTTTTATTACCATCCAGTTCCTTGTGTTCAGCACTCAGCCCTGGACACCTTTTTCAACTACTACACCAGCCTTCAGCTTTCTCCTTGGTTACCCTTCTGTGCCCTGTCATCCTTGGAATCCCCCCTTTCTCCATCTTTGTGTGTCTCCAACTTCTCTTCGTGGTCCTTTATGCTCAGGCTCTTCAGCTGCTCCGTCACTTTTTCTATTTGTCTGTCCATTTGAGTCTTTGTAGGTTCTCTTTGTTTCCATCACTTTGCCCAGGATTTCTCCAATCCTAACATCCCTCGGAGGGGCTCCAGTGTACACCTCTGATTTTCCAAATTGCTGCCCCACTCTCCAGTGCCAGCTCTCCCCTTGGATCTCTGATGTAGCATCAGAGTGTCTCTACCTGCCCCCTCTCCTGGAGCCTCCTTGTTTCCTTAGGTCCTAACATTTTTCTTATATCCCTCCTTGTAACTTTTTCTTTTTTCTCAAAAGTTCAGCCTGATTCAACCTTGTTGGATTTCTTGTGGTTTTGTTCCCAAATCAGTTTTTCTGTCTTCTGTTGACTTGGCACATCCTGAGTTACCCCCAGATGTCTAGATCATTCTTTGTTCTTTCTGGTTTTCTTATTTCCTAAATGCATCATTCTTTCTGTTCTCCCCCCAAGTCCTTTTTTCTTTTCAGCTCTTCTCATTCCTTCCTGTTTTCTCAGCTCTTTTCCTTCTACCTTTCTTATTTTCCAAGTTCTCAGCCTTTTATGCTGATGTCCAAAAACCTTCTTCCAGACTTTCACCTAGACGACTTCTGCTCCCCTAGGATCCTGGTCTCTCTTTAATGTTTTGATAGCTCGAGGTGACTTCTCCAAGCCTGTCCTTCAACCTTCCTCTGTGCTGTCAACTCCAGTCTCAGTGGTTGTCTTTTGGCCCCAGGCTCTTTTTAGAGGCTTTAGTGTTTCTTTCTTTAGTTGACTGGTTCAATTTCAGCTCCTCTAATCTTTGTCCTGACAACCTAGTCTGACTTCCCTCACTAGCCAGGGATAACTTGAGCCTTTATCTCCTCCATCCTAGAGTTTGGTTGGGTTTCTCTTTGATGTGATGCATGCATACAGGTCCATCTGGTTGGTATTGACATCTTTACTGGGAAGAAATATGAAGATATCTGCCCGTCAACTCATAATATGGATGTCCCCAACATCAAAAGGAACGATTTCCAGGTATGTAGATGGTCTGGATGTAGATGGGTTAGTGGTTTGTGGGAGGAAAATAGAGACTGGCCAGAAGACCTTGTGCTGAGAGAAGGGAGATTGGCAGGAGGAGAGGGTATTTGGTATTAGCAGTTTCCCACCCTAGTTTGCCCATCAGACCCTTTATCCTCAGGCTACTTGGGCCTACCTTCAGCTTCCTTCCCTGTCTGCCCCCAGCTGATTGGCATCCAGGATGGGTATCTATCACTGCTCCAAGACAGCGGGGAGGTGCGAGAGGACCTCCGTCTGCCTGAGGGAGATCTTGGCAAGGAGATTGAGCAGAAGTACGACTGTGGAGAAGAGATACTGGTATGGTGCCCCCCCCCTTTCTTTTATGCCCAGCCTTGTTCTTTGTGCTTCTTTCTCTGAGCTCAGACTTGACTATTCCCCCATGCTCCCCCAGATCACGGTGCTGTCTGCCATGACAGAGGAGGCAGCTGTTGCAATCAAGGCCATGGCAAAATAACTGGCTCCCAGGTGAGTGTGGTGACACCCCTCCCCCCAGCCCCCTTCACTCACTTTGTTGTCTCCATGGAAGAGGTACTTTGGCCTTAATTGACTGTGGTGCTTGTTCCCCTCATCCTTTTTCCCTTTGAAGGTTTTATCCTGTCTCACCTGGTTTCTCTCTTCTACCCAGGGTGGCTGTGGTGGCAGCAGTGATCCTCCAGCCTGCAGAGGCCCCCTCCCCCAGCCTGGCCCAGCTCTGGCCCGGCCCTTGGCTGGACTCCTCCTACACAATTTATTTGACATTTTATTTTGGTTTCCCCTACACCCTCAATCTGTCGGGGAGCCCCTGCCCTTCACCCTGCTCCCTTGGCCAGGAGTGAGTGAACCATGGCCTTGGTGAAGCTGCCCTCCTCTTCTCCCCTCGCACTACAGCCCTGGTGGGGGAGACCGGGTGGGTGCTGCTTGTGGTTTAGGTTTGTTTGGGTTTTTTTTTTTTTTTTTTTTTTTTTTTTTTTTTTTTTTTTTTTTTTTTTTAATTCAATCTGAAATCAGAAAGCTGTGGATTCTGGCAAATGTTCCTTGTGCCCTTCCCCTACTCATCCCTGTTCTGGTCCCTTATTCCCCAATAGCCCTTTTTCCCAAGCACCACCCCCACAGACTGGGGACCAGCCCCCTCCCCTGCCTATGTCTCTCCCCAAATCCCTTTAGATGGGAAGGGAAGAGGAGGAGAGGGGAGGGGACCTGCCCCCTCCTCAGGCATCTGGGAGGGCCCTGCCCCCATGGGCTTCACCCTTTCCTGCGGGCTCTCTCCCCGACACATTTGTTAAAAATGAAACCTGAATAAAACTACAAGTTTAATATGAAACCCCCAACTCAGCTGTTGCTTCGAAATAAATTGGTATTTGCTAACTAGAATGTCAATTTGGAAATCAGAAATAAGAGTATAGGTTGAACTCAGCCGCTGAGCTCATTACAACCAACCTGCTGTTCCCCTGTGGTTCCTATGGACCTGCCAGCCACCCCTCACCCTCCAAGCAGCCCAGTGGGAGGCAACACAGATAGTCGCAGCCAGGGTCAGTGGCAGGTAGATTTTATTGGCCTGGGACTAGGACACACCAGAGATCCTCCCCCACGGCAGGGGCTGGGGGCAAGGTTGAAGATCAAATCTGATGGTCACTTGTGGTAGAATCGCGGGTTCTGGCTGTGCTGGATGAAGGGGAGCCGAGGGCCAGGCTGGCTGGTGGTTGCAAAGCCCGACTGGCAGCGGTGATGAAAGGAGGGCTTTGTCAGCGTGCGTGCCCTCCCTTCTACTCCACGCCCAACTGAGAGCCATCCCAAGGGAGGAAGGGAATATGGGGGTGGGGACCACCTATCCTACCCAATCCTGTTTACCTGTCGTGTAGGGATTCTCACGGGCTGGATTACCACCCTTACCTTTCCGGCTGGTTGCATCTGCACAGGGAGCTGGGGTGAGGCTAGGAGTCCAGGAGCTGGATGCAGAGCTTGGGGGTGCATGGGGCGCAGGGAGGACTGCAGAAAAAAAAGTTAGCTGAGGCAACCTGTGGCTCCCCTTAGCATAGGTAGCCCTTCCCTGACCTCGCAAGGCTCTACTCACTGAGTCAGAGAAGCCCGTCTGTTGGTTAGCGTGTTCCATTTGTTTTTGCAAGGACAGGGCACTACCAGGCTGGAGGAACCCTAGGTGGGGAGGAAGGGTGTGAAGTGAGTAGAGAATGGGGAAAGGAGGAAGGGAGGACCCGTGAAACTGGGCCCCTGCGTGGGGTGTCCGTCACCTGTCTGGGTGGGCTGAAAGTGGCTGTGCACGGCATAGGGCTGAGGCTGTGGCTGAGACAGGTACTGTACTGCAGGAAATGCGGAAGGTGCTGAGGAGGCAAGAGACAGTCACGAGAACCTCCTCGTAGCCTGTTCCCCACTCCTTCCTCTGGGCCTTGAGGAAAGCTCTCTTCCTCTTTTCCCACTGCTCACCTCTGAGCTGCTGACTAGGACTGTAGGCAGGCTGCGTGGGTCCATAGTGAGGTGGGGGCTGAGCAGTCCCATAGGCACCGCCCGGGCTGCCTTGGAATTGCCCATGCTCTGGGGTCCCTGCGAAAGCAGCTGCTGAGCCCACATAGTGCCGGGTCTAAGGAGGAAAAATGAGAACTCACTGCCTGTGAACTCCGTGAAGCAAAAACTCAAGTGACTGCCCCATTTCCTCATTTCCTCTACACAGTTTGGTGGGACACACTCATGACTTGAGTGCTGGCTGATAAGCATGTTGGGGTCTGGGTGGTAGCAGTAGGAAAAAGAATTCAGCCTAGACACCCATTTCTACTGTTCTTACCGTAAGCACTTGGGGTCCAAACATCTGTTTGGCTCTGTCTGCTGCCATGAGGGTGCCTGGGCGATTGTGTCCTCCAGGGCTCCCTAGAGAGGGAGAGGGGCTTCATGATGCTGAAATGAGGCAGCAACCTACTGGAAGGCGCATTCTGACAAGCAGTTTCTTTAATCCTCACCCTGCATGCTGAGGAGGTGAGTTCCAGTGTGAACGGTCAGGCCTTGCTGGTATGCTGCTGATGTCAGAGTGGTCAGGTCACTGGAGGGGAAGGAAGGCAGATCAAAGACAAGTCCGGCCCATGCAGTTCCCACCCCCCTCCCCGTCCCGTTTGCCATTAAACACTTATGTTTTGTTACCTGATCCCAGTTACACTTTGGGCCCAATTTTATTTTTAGCTCTCCCAATCTCACCTCTGCTCTTTTCGCCTTCGTTTTTCCTCCTCATGTAAAACTTTCTTGAGCTGCAGGAAAAGCTGATGTTTCTCTTCCTGTAGGGCTAAAAGCTTCTCCTGCAACTTCAGGATCTGGGGAGGGGAGAGAAGGTGAAGGCAGGAGAGCCAACAGAAGAAAACTAGGAGAGATGAAGAGACTGCTTACTTGTTCCTTGGTTTCCTCTAGTGACATTCTCTCTTCCATCTCCTTTTTCTTCCTTCTCTCCTGCTCTTCCTTCATCTTCTGTTCCATCATCTTGTCCACCTCTTCCTCCTCTGGAATAAGAGTCAGGCAGAATGAGAAAGTGGCAGGATAATTAAACTATTAGAATATTAGAGAATGAAGACCGGCCAAAATTGGTTATCCCTGTGCTCTTGGTACTTGCTCCAGTACCAAGAGCACTGGGAGGGGACAGTCTTCCCCATCACTGCGAGGGGGCTGGGACGGGGAGGTTTATTAGGTGCTCTCCAAGGTCCTTCCCAGCTCCAGGGCGCTGGAGTTTAGGTGTGGCCTCTAATCCCCACCACAGCGGGGCTGTCCGTCCCTCTAGCTTCGGCCGCCGTGCACTGGTCTGCCCGTGGGTGGGGGGTCAGCCCTGGGAGAGCGGTGCTCCCCGGGCCGTGCATCCTCCCGCTTTGGCCCCGTCTCACCCTGCCGCTTGCGCTCCCGCTCCATCATGATGTGCCGGTGCAACGCCCTGGCCATGGCGTTGGAAAGCTTGGGGCGCTCCAGGAGCGCAGGCATGGTGCTGCCGGGGGCGCTCGGGCCGTGGGCGCCCGGCTCTGTCGCTGGCTGCCAGACCTCGGGCCGGGCCTACGGGGAGGCGGGCGCTCAGGGGGAGCGCGCCGGGCCGGGCGGAAGCCGCCCGCCCGCCGCCCCGGTCACGTGCCCACCGCCCGGCCCGGCCCTCAGCGCGGCTCCTCCGCGTGCGCGGGCGGGGGTCTTGGCGCTCCCGCCCCCTGCCCGCCACCCGGGCGCCCGCCCCTCCCTACCCGCCTTCTCGTCGCTTTCTCCGCGGCCTCCCGAGCGCCTGGGCCGCGGCGTCACATCCGGCCGCTCGGCCGAATCCTTCCGGAGTCGGGGCGGCCGCGGGCTCGCGGGTTGGGCGGGGCGGCGGGGCGGGGCAGGCGGTAGCGCCCGCGACGGGTGCCCGCGGTGTCCAAACGCCTCCGCTGCGCCCCGGCCGCGCACCGGGAAACGCCCCTACCGGGCCGGCCCCGCGGGCGGAGTCCCTGACGTGGAGGGGCCGGGGCTCCTCCGGGAGGCGAGAGGCGCGCGCGAGAGAGGCCGAGGCGGCTGCTCTGAGACGGCGTTTATTGGCTCCTTAGAAATCAGAGTCAGTAACAACTGTACAGAGGCCCGACCCCCGGCGCCGCCTTCCCCACTCCCGCCTGGGCCAGAAAAGCAGCTTCATGTGGGGCACCGGGAGACTCCTCTGGAATTCACAGTAACCAGAACAGAAACGGAAATAAATTAAGTGTATGGGGGAGGAGTCGCGGGGAGTCGTACTCCCCAGATCAGTGCATGGAGAGGGTTCCCCAGGGCCTGCGGCCGGGCTCCCCGCTGCGCCTTGACCTTGGAGGGAGGGACTGTCCGGGCCCTGGGCACGGAGACAGCTCCGCTTCCCAGCTAGTCTGAGAGTCTGCCCGCATGCTCCTGTGCATCTGCCAGGCTGAGCACTCAGCGTGCCGTGGGTCGCTGGAGTGAGGTGGTGGCAGTCGTCATTCAGAGTCCACGGGCCGAGGCCCAACTGTGCTTGTAGTGGTGCGGCCTCACCCCTCACTCCACCCGTACCAGCAGGGCATAGAGAAGTGTGGCCCCCTTCTCCTTGGTTACCCACTCAAGTTCGGCTGGGCTGAAGTGAGGGTCGGGAGGCTCTCTGAGGGCAGCGGAAGGGGGTCCGGGGGTGTAGGAGCCAGGGCGCACACACACCTGGAACGCCACCTGGGCCTGATGTGTCTGCTGGGATTTGGGGTCCCGGAATCTGTCAGGAAAGAAGCATAAATAGGGCAGTGAGACCTCTGGGCCCAGGACCTCTCCCCCTTTCCAGCTGCCACCACGACAGTTAGCAGCTGGCCTTGCTGTTCTCAGGAATCACTCTCTCCGTACAGGGACCTGACTCTAGCCGTCCTCTACTTGAAATGGCCTTCCTCCCAATGCCTGCTCGCCTAACTCCCTCCTGCCATCTTCAAGTCTTTGCTCAGATCTCACCTTCTTAATGATGTCTACCCGGACCACCCTATACCATACGCCCGCTCCAACCACACTTCTGACCCACTTCACTCACTCTTTTTGTTTCCATAGTACTTACTTGTCACCTTTAAAAATACTAAATACTTATGCATAAACATTCTAGAGCAAGAAAAGGCATAACTTCCACATGCCCAGGGTTCCCTTCTTTGTTCTCTGTGATAGGACAAAATAAGTGGTACTTGTGCAAAGACTGAGTGAAGAAAGGGCTGGGTAGAGACTGAGGAACTAGGGAGACAAGGTGGGAAAGGAGAGGGAATCATGGCGACCCGTGTGGCCCCAGGCCCCCCTTCCTGTGTACTCACTGCACTTTGGATGCCAGGGCTTCAGCCCCAGCATATTGGAGGGAGGGGGAAAGCAGCACTGGAGGGGGCTGCTGCTCCCGAGGAGGCGCGCAGTTTTCGCCAGGCTCCTCAAACCCCAGCCCAGGCTCTCCCTTCAAGGGCCGGCAGCTCAGGATGGAAGCAGTGCCTGTGAGGAGAGCTGGGTCAGGGTGGCCCCCCCCATGGCCCATGGGCCCGGCCTGCCCGGCCTCTGCCGTGCCGGTGCTGCAGTACCTGCTCCCAGCTCCCCCCGGTCCAGCACCCTCCGGACGGCTGCCACGTTGCTCCCATGATACGCCATGTGCCACTTCTTGGTTAGTGTCCCAGCCTCCAGGCGGGGATTCACCCTAGGAGGTGGACAGATAGGACAAAGGTCACTGGCTCCCCGAGGTCATTCCCCAGACAAGATGTTTTGTCTTCTACCCTACACCCTCTCGGGACCTCCCGTTCTCAAGGGGGCAAAGAACAGTGAGAGAGAAGCATGACCCTGCCCCATACGTACCTGAGGTTGAACCTGCACCAGCCAAAGGGCAGAGCGTATTCCCGCGGGGGCTCCCCACGGCGCCTGTGGGCCTCATCCCCTCGAAGCTTCCGGCAAGACTCACAGTAGCACAGGCTGCGCTTCGGCGGAGGCATGAAATAATCCTCTGTGGAGAGTGAGTGGTAGACTTTGTGGCATGGCTCCCGCCCTGGGTCTCAGCCATGTGGCCTCTTTCCTACTGGTCTCCAGGGCTCCGGCCATGGCCCTGGGCTGGGCCAGGAATGAGGCAGGTTCTGGGGGACTGGGGACTCACCAGGAAGCAGCAGCAGTTCCTGGAAACGTGAGCAAAGGGCGTGGTACTCACAGCTCTTGAGGGGGCTAGCAGTGGGCGGTGGACCCCAGCACACACTCTCCTTGATACCTGAGGGAGCAGAAGGGGCACAGGTCACGGGAGCTGGGACCAGAAGTACAAGGTGGGGGTGAGGTGGGATCCTGGCCCCTTCGGCTGGCTCACCATCCACCATGTCAGCTTTCTCCATGTCCCCTTGGGTTCCAGCACTCTTTCCGTTCTCAAGGGGGCAAAGAACAGTGAGAGAGAAGCATGACCCTGCCCCATACGTACCTGAGGTTGAACCTGCACCAGCCAAAGGGCAGAGCGTATTCCCGCGGGGGCTCCCCACGGCGCCTGTGGGCCTCATCCCCTCGAAGCTTCCGGCAAGACTCACAGTAGCACAGGCTGCGCTTCGGCGGAGGCATGAAATAATCCTCTGTGGAGAGTGAGTGGTAGACTTTGTGGCATGGCTCCCGCCCTGGGTCTCAGCCATGTGGCCTCTTTCCTACTGGTCTCCAGGGCTCCGGCCATGGCCCTGGGCTGGGCCAGGAATGAGGCAGGTTCTGGGGGACTGGGGACTCACCAGGAAGCAGCAGCAGTTCCTGGAAACGTGAGCAAAGGGCGTGGTACTCACAGCTCTTGAGGGGGCTAGCAGTGGGCGGTGGACCCCAGCACACACTCTCCTTGATACCTGAGGGAGCAGAAGGGGCACAGGTCACGGGAGCTGGGACCAGAAGTACAAGGTGGGGGTGAGGTGGGATCCTGGCCCCTTCGGCTGGCTCACCATCCACCATGTCAGCTTTCTCCATGTCCCCTTGGGTTCCAGCCCTCTTTCCACTGGCAGCCCCTGGTTCAGGGGTCACGATTGTCACCTGCAGGGGAGAGGGGTCGTCAGCCAGAGTGTGACCAGCCCCCAGAGCCTGCTGATCCCCTCCTTGAACTCCAGACTTCCCCTGTCCTCGGACAGCCCAGCCTCCCAGGCACCACTCCTCCCCCCCTCTGCTGCCACTAACCTGCTCACACTGCCCGTAGAGGTCCACGAGTGCATGGCAGGGCTGGGGGACATCTGGCACAGCCACTCCCTGGTCCATCCCGTTGATGTGGAGATGCAGCCCCCCAGAGCTGTCTAGCCGCAGTCCCAGGATGGTGCCTTCAGGACACGTGTCCAGATTTGGCCCAAACTTCTCACAGATCTGGGAGGAGAGACCTACTGTCTTCCCAGAGATCAGATTCCCACCGGCAGCAGCCACCCCTGCCCTTCACTAAGGTTCAGGTCACCAGTCCCTGGGCTTTGCCTCCACACTTGCCCACTGCCCAGGCTCTGCCCCTGCTTCAGTTACCTAGACTCCACCCAGCCCCACCCCCCGCAACATTCTCCACGGCAGGGATGTAGGAGGAGACGATGAGCCCGAGACTGACCAGGTAACGCCGCTCACACCCTTGCCCATCCACTACAGGACGCCTTTATACCTACGGGCCTAGCTCCAGGGTTAGGGGCCCCTCTTCTCCCTCTCGGCCAGCCCCTCCCCCTTCTCTCTGCTCCCTACCCACCTTGAGACCGTTGTGGAAGACCCCACGGCCCCGCAGCAGCCAGGCTGCCCGTTTGAGGGCACAGGCAGAAGCAGGGAAGTTGAGCCTCTCCGGTGGGCAGGTAATGACTCCCAGGACAAGGGAAGATGTCCACTGCCGGTTCAAGAAGTCTATCCGTACCTGGGGAGAAGGCAACCACTCCGCAATCGTGGCCTCCTACAAAGAGGTCACCCACCCTGCAGGACCGGGCTCCTCACCCCAGCCAGGGAGAGAAGATGGCACCCCGCAGTGTGGCCTGGGATGCCACCCCTTCTGATGCCTGGACGGACAGGAAACTGCAAATTCAGCTGTGTCCTTCCCTCTTTCAGCCTTGGTCTTGCTATTGCTTCTAAAAGGATTCTTGTCCCCACGGGCTTTCTTCACCTGCCTAACTCTGACAACTTGTAGTCTGCAGCATAAGACCCCCTCCTCTGGAAAGCATGCCCTGTTCTCACATATAGAATCAGGAGTCTCCCTGGCATCCCTCAGCCCCTCTCCACTGCTTCCCTCCTCACAGCCCCCAGGTGGGTACTTCCTGGAAACTGATCTACAACTGCCACCACAGGATATGAACAAAAGCCCAGGAAGCTCACCCAAAGGGCATGCCTTCCACTTTGTCCTCAACCTGGAAAAGCCTCTCTGCAGGAGGGTTGGCCCTGGGTCACCCTGAGCAAGAGGAGCCGGGGACAAGGAGGTGAGGCCCACCTGGACCAGCAGCTGGGGCACCAGGGGCTGGCTGATGACAACGATGCCCTGGTTGTAGCTGGCCACTCGTGTAGCTGTACGGTTCCCGTTGGACAACAGAATATTCTTCCCATGGTTCTCTAGGAACTCGAGGGCTGTGGGCATAACGGCCACTTGATTCTGGCCCTGGTGTGGAGGAGAGAGTGAGCTGCGGGGCGGCCGACGCGAGGCCTGAGCCACCCCACTGGGCTTGACACAGAGCCTGCAGATAAGCCTCCGCCCACCCAGGGCTGGATCAGAGAACCTGAAGACGACCCAACGGGCCACCAACGGTCCCTCCCTGTGCCCAGTGGGCCCTGCTGCTGCCTC